CCTAGCGGCTCAGCCTGGTGGCCAGGCCTGGCCTGCTCCTCCCTGCCCGAGCACGTGGGCCCAGATGAGCAGCTGTTCACCAGGGTCCGCACCCGGGACCATCTCCTTCCCACCCTCGGGCTCCCTGAGGGTCACCACCTCCTCTGTGAAGACGGGCAATGCCCCTCTCACCCCACCAGCGCACACGCGGCCCTGGACGGGGGCTCCCACAGCTTCTGCACCCCCAGCTTCACCAGGCACAGGGCCTGGCCCCAGCCGGCCTCAGAAGATGTGTGTTTGGAAGGATCCGAGTGAACCCCCAGCTGCGACCACACTCGCTGTCCCAACACCCCCGGACCCCATCCTCCGCCTCCATCACCCCCTCCCTGCCGGCCCCAACCAAGGCCCTGGTGACAGTCGGACACAGGCAGTCCCCACGCAGGTGATGGGCGCTGCGGCCCAGGGGCCTGGGGAGCTGGGGGGGGTTGAGGGGGGAGAGCCTGGGTGCTCAGGGGAGGCCACTGGGGTGAGACCAATGGACTAAGTGTAAACTTTATTGCTGGGGGCTTCCCAAGGGCCAATCCTGGCTTCCTCACTGACACCCCCCCACACACACACACCCCACCCTCACCACCGGTGCCAATGACGTCACATCCCCATGTATGGGCAGAGCTGTTCCCAACCATGTGAACCAGGATGGGGAGGGCAATGGACGTCCAAGGACACCCCCAAAGCATGGGCGCTACACCCTGAGACTCTGACTCCCAGGGGACCAGAGGTACAGGAGCAGGGCGGGGCGTGGGAGGGGGCGTGGAGAGAGGTGGGGAGCAGCATGGGGGGGTGGAGAAGTCTTCATGTTCTTGGTTCTGTCTGACTAGTTCTGCAATATGTAGAGGAACCTGCTTTGCCCATTGGTAACAGAGTCCAAAATAAAAACTTTCTATAGCTATAGAGAGGAAATACTTTCCTTCCCTGGCCACACATAATCCACTTTTGTCATCTTCTTCCTTTCTGGCAGTCAGTGTTGGCGTTTTTGTACTTACATAGATCCTTGTCTCACCAAGTGTTTTTGCAAAGGGTTTGTCTCTTCCCTAAAGGTTGCTGTGAGAAAAGACATTGAACATGTAATACCTCTAGATGTCAGCAAATTCCAGGCCTTGAAAGTTACATAAGCTGTGTTTTCTGCCACAAATGCTCCTTCTTCTTCATTCAAACACCAGCCTTCTTTCTCGGTCTTCTTCCTGGGCCTCTTTTCTTGGCTCTGTTCCTTGTCTTCCCTCCCCACACGGGGCGAGGAGCCCGTTGGAAAGGTGAGAGCCCGGTTAGCCGCCCCAATGGACTCCTCCGCACTGGCCTGGCCCATCAGTCTTCTGTGGGGCTGCGCGCTGGGCCGGCCTCCATGCGGAGGCACATTGGTGCCCTTGTCCTCCGTGTCAGGGAGCCAGCCGTAGGTTATATATCACCTATCGTGTGACTGAATTGCACCCAGGGCCAACTTCCTCCTCTCTGTCTACAGTCAGTGCTTTGTGTCTTGCAGGAGCCGACACCCGCACTGCCAGGATGGCAGATGCTGGGCCCATTTTGGCAGACGCACTCCGGAAACTCCTACTCGATCTGGATGTGGATGATGGCCTAGCTGCCATTGGCTACTCCAAGGCTGACATCCCCGCATTAGTGAAAGGAACACTGCCCCAGGTAAGAGATGCAGAGCATCCTCACTCCCTTCTAGCTGCTGCAGGAAAGACAGGGTCCCACCTGGGGCACATTGAGGGAGATAAAGACTCAGGGGTCCTCCAGCGGCTCCCAGGTCTCCTCCACCAGATGGCGGCTCTCACACCCCACCCCCCCCCGGGGGGGGGGGGGGGGCGTGCAGGAGGCAGCTGATCAATGATTCTCTCTCATCATGGATGTTTCTATCTGTCTCCCCCTTCCTCTCTGAAATCAATAAAAATATATTTTAAAGAGAGAGACCAGAGGCAGAGGTGCGGAGGCCCAGAGAGAAGGGTGCAGCGGTGGAGCTGCTTAAGCCGTCTCCACGTTACTGGTAGATCTGATGCTCGTGTGGGAGTTACGTTTCTACTTTTATTTTTTTAAATCCTGTTATTGATTTCAGAGAGGAAGGGAGAGGGAGAGAGAGGCAGAAACATCAATGAGGGCTGCGGAGCCATGGGCTGGGGTGATGAGAGAGAATCATGGATCGGCTGCCTCCTGCACGCCCCCCGCTGGGGATGGAGCCTGCAACCTGGGCATGTGCCCTGATAGGGAATCGAACCGTGACCCCCTGGTTTATAGGTCAACGCTCACGCACGGAGCCACGCAGGGCGGGAGTTACGTTTTTAAAGAGTCCTCGTGCAGCCCTGGCCGGGTAGCTCAGTTGGTTAGAGCGTCGGCCCCACAAGCTAAGGTTGCAGGCTCATCCCTGATGGGGGCACGTACAAGAATCAACCAGTGAAGGCATAAATAAGTAGAACAACCAGGCAACGTTTCTCTCTTTCTCTCAAATCAATTTTTTAAAAATATAGAAAGGAGTCTTGGTGTCCTAGAGAAACAGTGAAATCGCTATCGATGCAATAATACAATCTCCAGGTTTTTACTTTGAAATCCCACAGAAAGGGGGAGGTCCAGATGAAACAAGACGGTGACCAGCCATGCTAACTGGTGAAGCGGGGAGAGGGGGGGGCAGGTCCTATCGCTCTACTTTTACGTTTGAAGTTTCCCATAATAAAAACACTTTTTAAATAAATTAAACAACAACAACAAAAAACACGTTGGCCTGGCCAGGTGGCTCAGTTCATTCAAGCATCGTCCTTTACACCAAAAGATTGTGGGTTCGATCCCCGGTCAGGACACAGACCAGAATCAAAGAATCAACCAATGAATGCATGAATAAGTGGAACAACAAATCGATGTTTTCCTCTCTCTCTCTCTCAAATCAATAAATACATTTTAAAGAAGGCACGATGCCCCACAGTGAGTATGACGTCGGCTGCCTTTTGTGTGAAAAGAATGGGAGCAAGTACACACATTGGTGTTGCTCCCCAGAAAGCAGAGCTCGGGGAGGATTGGGGAGAGGTGTGGGGGCCGCTGCAGGAGGGCAGCTGGGGGGCTGGGGAGGTATGTTCCCTCTTTCACACTTAGAATTCTGAACTGGGTGAATATATGACCATTTTTTAAAAACACATTTTAATTTAAAAACACTCCAGCCCTAACTGGTTTGGCTCAGTGGATAGAGCATCGGCCTGCAGACTGAAGGGTCCCGGGTTCGATTCCGGTCAAGGGCACGTGCCTGCATTGCGGGCTTGATCCCCAGTGGGGGACGTGCAGGAGGCAGCCGATCCATGATTCTCTCTCATCACCCCAGCCCATGGCTCCGCAGCCCTCATTGATGTTTCTGCCTCTCTCTCCCTCTCCCTTCCTCTCTGAAATCAATGACAGGATTTAAAAAAATAAAAGTAGAAACGTAACTCCCACACGAGCATCAGATCTACCAGTAACGTGGAGACGGCTTAAGCAGCTCCACCGCTGCACCCTTCTCTCTGGGCCTCCGTAAATATATATATATAAACACTTCAAATAAAATTTAAAAATTTTAAGTAAGGGGTGGGGGATAAGGACAGAAAGCAGATGTTATATGTATTATTCTGGGTGTGTATTATTACAACAACAATAATAATAATAAAACAACAATACAAGTGGTCCATTTGTTATTCCACACAGGCCCAGTGTGAAGACGACACAGGAAAGGGGTTTTCCCAGGCCCTGGGCTCCTCACATGCTTTAAACGAGAGGGATCACAGAAAGCCTATATTTTGGTGGTCCTGGCCGGTGTGGCTCAGTGGGTTGGGCATCATGCGATGAAAGGTCGCTGGTTCTATTCCCGGTCAGGGCACATGCCCGGGTTTCAGGCTTGATCCCTGGCAGGGGGCGTGCAGAAGGCAGCCCATGGATGCTTCACTCTCACATCAGTGTTTCTCTCTCTCTCCCCTCTCCCTTCCTCTCTCTCTAAAAATCAATTAAAAATCTTAAAAACAAACACAAAAGCGTACGTTTTGTGTGCCAGGGCCTCCAAACCCTTCCATCGGCACTCCCTCAGCTGCCGGAGTGAGTGCTGGGTCCCCGGCCGGCAGACAGAGAGGTAAATAGATGCTGGTTTACAGAAAGCACCTCCCTGTGGTCACAATCCCCCCTGTCCAGCCTTAGCTCCTAACTGCCACCGACGGCATGCCTCCTCTGCACAGAGTTGGCTGGTTCTAGTCAAACGTGCAGAGGGGAGGGGAGAGGGGGGAGAAGCCCTCAAAATTCTTTTTTTTCTTTTTTTTTTTAAATAAAGTATTCTTTTTAAAATTTTTAATACATTTTTATTGATTTTAGAGAGGGAGGGAGAGGGATAGAGAAATGATGAAAGAAAACCATGGATCAGCTGCCTCCTGTACGCCCCCTACTGGGGATCAAGTCCACAACCCAAGCATGTGCCCTTGACCAGAATCGAACCTGGGACCCTTCAGTCCGCAGGCTGACGCTCTATCCACTGAGCCAAACCGGCTAGGGCAGCCCTCAAAATTCTTAAAAGCATGCCTCATGCCACAGAACCATCTCCAAAGGAACAGAAATTGCTCAAACTACAGACCAGCTACTAGAGCTGTAATATGTCCATTCAAGTCCCCTCACAGCTAAAGTCTCCGCAGGAAGGCCGTGCGCTCCAGCCAGAGCTTTAAGTCGCAAGCCAAACGCCCTGGCTCTCTCCTCACCGGCCCTGCAGAGCCGATCTGCCTCCTGAGTCCCCATATGCTCACCGTCCACGGACCTCCCGGTCACCCAGCCAAACCCCTGGGCGCCATCCTCAGCCCTCCCCTCTCCCCTCGTCCAGCCCACAACCCCTCAGGTCCCTCCTGTCCAGGGCCCAGCTCCAGCCCCAGCGCGGGCCTCCTCACCTCCCTATCTTCTCCCACCTGGGCCTTTGCCCCAGCCTGGCCTCCGGGCCTCCAGCCTCCCACTCCACCTCACCCTCCACGTGTCCTGAGAGGGGCCTCACGGTACCCAGCGCTGGCCCTGCTCCGTGCCTGCTCAGCGCCCATGGCTCCCAGCGCCTCGACGCAGTCCCAGCCCCTCAGCTTCTCTGTGTCCCTGATGGCCTCCTCGGCCTGAGCACCGCACTCCCCTCCCACAATCCCCCCAAACATGCCCGGCTCTTCTTTGCACCGTGTCTCTGTACTGGCTGTCCCCTCTCCCTCTGTTACCCCACTTTCTTTCAAGTTAGAGGTAGAACTGGGTCCCTCCTCTGGCTTCCCACAGTGCTGGCCGCCTCCATCAGGGCTCAGGTCACACTAGCTTGTAACCAAATCGTGGGACTTTTTTTTTTTTTTAGTCCTCACTTGAGGATAATTTTCCATTGATTTTTTAGCAAGAGTGGAAGGGAGGGGGAGAGACAAAGAGAGAGAAACATCAGTGTGAGAGAGACACATTGATGGGTTGCCTCTCACATGCGCCCCGACTGGGGCCAGGGATCGAGCCTGCAACTGAGGTTCGTGCCCTTGACCGGAATCGAACCTACCGATGCTCTATCCACTGAGCCAAACTGGTAAATGGTGGGGTTTTCAAGGGAAGGAACTGGATCTGCTTATCTTGGGGAACCTCAGCATCAGCCAGCACAGGGCCTGGAACATGGGGAACCTCAGAGAACAGATGATGGAGACACGGAAAGAGGATACAAGAAGCAGACCCAGGGAGGTGGACCCGGCAACAGACACAGCAGGAGGGAAGAGATGAGAGAGCGAGACGGGGACAGAGGCCGGCTGCCTAGCCACCTGCAGCGAGTAGTGGAGAGCGGAGCAGGCCGGGTGCAGCGTGAGGTTCTGGAAGGGCTGGATTCTGGGATGGTTCCAGCCCTTCTCCTCGGTCCATTCCACCATCAGCATGTGGTCGGTGAAGGTCTTCCCGAACACCAGGGTCTCGTTGGGGTCAGGCTTCTTATGAGGCTTCTGTGTCATTTCCAGCTGCAGGTCCGCAGCCTGAGAAAAGAAAGGGGGCCTGGGTATCCTGGAATCGGCCACAACCTCCAAACTGAGGGGGGAAACTACAACTCCCATGAACCCCTGGGGCTAAGACCCAAACAGAAGAGGGTCCTGTGGCTCCAGAGGCTTCTGGGACGTGTAGTTTCAACTCTTTCCCACAGCCTGGTGGCAGGCAATCAGGCTGCTAGCCCATTGCTGCCCACCTTGACCTTTGAACCCTGGACCTTTCGGAGATTCCCCAAATCCCACCTTCAGCCCCCTCCTGCCTCAGACCCAGCAGTTCAGGCCCCAGCCCCTCCGCCTTGGGATCCTTCCTTTTACCTTGAAGCTGGAGGAGGCATATCTTCTGGGGCCACCCAGAAGCCAAGGGGCAGTGAGAAGTTTTCGGGCCCAAACCTGGGGGTGGGGAGAGAAGAAAGGTGGTGAGGCAGGACAGAGGGGGGGCAGTCCTTTGCTGCCTCCTTCGCTTGGGAGGCCCCCCTGACCCGTTCTTTCCAGGCCCGGGGCTCTCTAACGGGCCGTGTGGCCTGGCCAAGTCTTCCTCTGCCCTGACCAGCGGGTAGCAGGAGGGGCTCCTGAAGGAGGCCAAGTCCCTCCCTGCCCCTACGAGGGCCACCCCTAGAAAGAGCTGAATCAGCTCCCATTCCCTCCTCCATGCTGGGCAAAGTCAAACGCAGGCACCTCCCACCCCAGGGAACTTTGGCCCCGGCCCTGAGACCAGTGCAGACAGAAGACGACAAGGGAAAGTACACAGGTAAGCGAGGGCCTCGCCGGGGGACCCAAATCCCGATAAGAGTGGGGGACCTAAGGTCATGCTCCCCCAGAACCCAGGAGTCCAGGCCCCCAGCTCCCTCTTCCTTCAGATCCAGGGCCAGGTCCCCAGCCCCAGGCCCTCGACTCCCTCCTCCTTTGGACCCAGGAGTCCAGGTCCCCAGCTTCCTCCTCCCTCAGACCCAGGAGTCCCAGTCCAAATTCGTTCCGGGTATTAGACCCACCGAATTCAGATTATTTGAAGCCCCCAGCCCCACGCTTTGGACACCAGTGATTCCAGTTCCCTTCAGATCCCAGGGCCGAGGGGCAGCCATGCGGACCTGGAGGCCACCCCAGTCAGCCATGGACACTGTCCAGATGAACACGTCCCTGTGGTCCTGCCCGAGGCAGCAGGGAGCGCAGGTCTGGCTGTGCCCAGCAGGGTGGCCTCTGCCCGGTGTCCGTGGGCCTCACAGTGCCTCTTTGTCCAGCCCAGTGGGAAGGCGGCTGGGTGGTGAGGCTCGGGGAGACGACAGCCTCGCCTGCCCCTGCCCCGTGAGCTGGGTGAGCTGACGCCAAGCAGTGAGAAGGGATGTGAAACGGCAGCTGCGACTGGTCCGCAGGTGAGTCATGGGCAGAGGGTGCCGTGGGGCTTCCATGACGGACAGTCTGGGCCATGAGGTCTGGGGAGTAGCCTGGATAGCGCGGGGCACCGGCTTCTGGCAGGCTCGGGGTGTTGCTCCCACACATGGCCGCTAGGTGGCGATGTGTGGCCGGCATAAGCCTGTGTCCAGTTCCGTCCCCCACAGTATGGAGTCTGAACACACAGGGCAGAGGCAGCCCTCAGAGGGAGCAGAAATGGAAAAGAATAAAAGAGCGTAAGAGAGGGAAGCTCGAGAAGGAGAAAAAGAGCCCTGCCCGGTTTGGCTCAGTGGACAGAGCATCGGCCTGCGGACTGAAAGGTCCCAGGTTTGATTCCGGTCAAGGGCACAAGCCTGAGCTGCAGGCGCGATCCTCAGTAGGGGGCGTGCAGGAGGCAGCCAATCAATGGTTCTCTCTCATCATTGATGTTTCTATCTCTCTCTCCCTCTCCCTTCCTCTCTGAAATCAATAAAAATATTTTTTAAATAAAAAAGGAAAGAAAAGAAGGAGAAAAAGAGACAGAGGGGAACCAAAATGGAAAAAGAATAAGAGAGTAAGAGAAGGAAGAGTGTCGGCCGGTGTGGCTCAGGGGTTAAGCGGCAACCTATGCACCAGGAGGTCAGGGTTCGATTCCCGCTCAGGGCACATGCCCGGGGTTGCGGGCCCGATCCCCAGTAGGGGGCGTGCAGGAGGCAGCTGATCAATGGTTCTCACTAATGTTTCTATCTCCCGCCCCCTTCCTCTCTGAAATAATAAAACTATATTTTTCTTAAAAAGAGAGGGAGAAATAAAAAATAATAATAAAATAATTTAAAAATTAAGAAGAGAGAGGGAAGAGCCAGAGTGAGAAAAACAGACAGAGAAATAGAAAACACACACTTGAAAGAACAGAAAACAAGACCAAGAGATGCCAAAACAGATAGAGAGAGAGAGAGAGAGAGAGAGAGAGAGAGAGAGAGAGAGAGAGAGAGACAAGAGGGAGAGGAACTCAGGGAAAGTAGAGAGCCTGAGAAATCAGGAAAAATACTGAGTGGAATACAGAGAGGCCACGACAGAGAGAACGAGGAAAAAGGGAAATCCATGAAGCCCAGACTTCAGCAACGGAGCACGCAGTGAAAGGGAGGCCCGAGAGATGAGGAAGGGCTGCGTGTGAGGGACGGGATGATGCCACCACCTGGAGAGACACCATCTCCATGACGCTTAGAGACAGACATCTAGGAGAGAGCGATACACGGGGCAGAAAGACACACCCACCGGGCAGGGAGGGTGCTGGGCGCAGTGTCCAGAGTCCCTGCCACACTGGGAGAAGCTGCCTTCCCCCTCCCAGGACATTCTCTCGGGGCAGAGGTCTCACCTCTGCTCAGAGAAGGTGCCGCCCCACCCTCTGACACCCCAAGCCATAGGGATCGGGCCTAAAGGAGACTGTGGGGTGGTAGATGGGCATTTGGGACAACAAGTGTGAACGTATGGGGCTGAATTAAGGAATGAGGGAGGGCCCTAACCGGTGTGGCTCAGTGGATAGAGCATCGGCCTGAGGACTGAAGGGTCCCAGGTTCGATTCCGGTCAAGGGCATGTACCTTGGTTGCGGGCACATCCCCAGTAGGGGGTGTGCAGGAGGCAGCTGATCGATGTTTCTCTCTCATTGATGTTTCTAACTCTTGATCCCTCTCCCTTCTCTGTAAAAAAATCAATAAAATATATTTTAAAAAAAAGAAATGAGGAAGGTCAGGGGGGAGGGGCAGCGTGCACAGGGCAGGGCTCTGTAACATCAAGCAGCCTCCACCGTGACTCATTATGGCCCGGACTGCCCCCACCACATGGCCCAGGTGAGTCACCAGCAGAGCCCAGGGTGGTCTCTGACCTAGTCCAGCTCTGTCTTTCACACGCAGGCCTGCCCTCACGTCACAGCAGGGAGTCCCCACCATAGAGCCCAGGACTCTCCCATCCCGGACCAGAACGGGCCTGACAGCCCAAGACTCGCCACAGCCCAGGCCCAGACTGTCCCTGTCGGTCCCACCACGGTCCCCAGGGCGCCCCAGCCCTAGCCCAGGCCTGTCTCCACCCTCCACTGAGACTCCCAGGGAGGACACACCTGCCCTGCCAGCCATCCATCCAGCTGGGCTCAGAGACCGGGTCAGGTGCAACGTTAGCAGGAAACACTTCTCCAAGGTTATGCTGTAGCTGGCGGGAGGCAATGGCCCCCCCACCCCCCTCCTTCCTAGACTTGTTACTGTTTCCTTTCCCACTGAGCAACCTTGTTCTCCCCAATCACAGGCTTTGCGAAGCGCCGCCGGTTAGCATCTTAGCAAGAGCGGACTATCTCGGTGTTGCCTGGAGTAGCCCGGTCGCTCTGACAAGGCGCCGCTGCCTCGATTTCCAAGCCAGGTGGGGAGCCCAGATAAGGGGTTCCGGGGGGGCCCCAGGTGCCCACATCTCTCTTAACCTTTAGTTCCAACAAGACCAGACCTGAGGACGCATTCCGCGCCTTCATCCTACCCCCCTCCCCTACAGATGCCGGGAGCCCCTATCCCGCTACCCTCACCCGCTCGCTAGTCCCTTCTCAATCCCCACCCAGCCCCGCGCCTCTCCCGTGACTGTCCCCCGCTCCTTCCCAGACCCCGGTCCCGGTCTCCAGCCCGCCAATGGAGCCCCCCGATCGCCCCTAAAGCTCCGCATTCCTTTCCAATGGGGCCCCCTCCTCCTCCTCGCCTC